AAAACATATTTATTCGCTGAAGCCTTTGGCATTGATTAGAGGGGTTGACTCAATTTGTTTTGACATGTTTCAATTTATTTTAGTTTTTTAGTTATTTATTTTATCTTATCTCATTTTAATTTTCTTTACTTATGCTTTTAGCATGTACAGCACTTTGTGAACTCTGGTTTAATGTTAAAGTGCTTTATAAATAAAGGTGGTATGCTATGGTATGGTAATATGCTGGTTTAATTACTTGTTCCATAATAATAACCATTTTCACCTTGCATATTTACCATAGTCACTTTACAGGGAGTTAAAAAGCTCCTCATCTCCTAAATAATGTATAAATCTTTTCCGTTAAGATTTTTATCTACAGACTTGCACCTTTAGACACTTCTTTGTTTCTCAGGTTTATCCCAGAGTCTCCGAGGTGGCTCATCTCTCAGAACCGTTCCTCCAAAGCTTTGAAGATCACTGAAGCTGTGGCCAGAGAGAACCACAGGACACTGTTCAAGAATACGGAGGTAGGCCGATTAAATAGTTCACTTACAGAACAATTTAAGAGTTTATAGATAGCAATGACTAAAGGAACAATATATTCACCAAATATGTTTATCAGTTTACTGCTGATTTTAGTATTTAATGGAATTTGTTGACAAAGATAAAGAAAATCACCAAAACTATTCTCTAACATTTCATTTCCACTAACAGGAAACATTAAGACCTATTAACTCCTTATTTCTACCATTATTTTATGACACTTTTTAATCCTGCTTTAATTTCACATTTCCATGTTTTTATTTCCCAGTCACTGACTGATGGTGAAGGTGAGTCTACCTCTGCCTCTTTGCTGGACCTAATCAGAACTCCAAACATGAGAAAGCACACCTTCATCCTCATGTTCAACTGGTGAGACTTGCCTGAAATCACACACGTTTTTTTTGCCTACATGCAGTTGATGCTGAACGTCTGTGTTTGTTGTGCACAGGTTCACCAGTGCTGTGGTTTATCAAGGCCTCGTCATGCGCTTGGGGATAGCAGGAGGAAACGTCTACATTGACTTTCTCATTTCTGGCTTGGTGGAATTTCCTGCCGCCTTCCTTATCCTCTTCACCATTGAACGTATTGGCCGGCGTCTCCCATTCGCCACTGCGAATATCGTAGCTGGAGCTTCGTGCTTCATTGCTGCTTTCATTCCTGACAGTGAGTTTTATGCATAGACTGTACAGAAAACACAGACATGGTCACCACCCTGGTACCCATTGGTTATTGACTTCCTGTGTGTATCTCAGGCTTGTTCTGGTTAAAGACAGCGGTTGCCTGTATCGGTCGGTTGGGGATCACCATGGCCTTTGAGATGGTGGTGTTTGTTAACACAGAGCTCTACCCCACATTTGTCAGGTGAGGAAACTAATTATAACCTGCTGAAGTTATAACCAGGAAATTGTGTTTATCTCTCCATCATTTTGACTGAATACAGGAACCTGGCAGTGTCTGTTTGTTCTACTCTGTGTGATGTTGGAGGCATTGTGTCCTCATTCCTGCTGTACAGACTGGCTGCTATCTGGCTGGAACTGCCACTCATCATCTTTGGTGGGTTTATAATGTTTACCAGTAAGCATGTATATGAAAAAAAAAAGGTTAAATACTAGATGAAAGGTGCAAAACCTCATATTTATGTCTTCTCAGGCTGAATTCTTAAGAATGTTAAGGACTGTGCTCTACATTGCCACTAATATATTTTGGAAAAGGATGAATCTACAGACAAAATACGTACAAAAAATATTCTGTATTTTATGTACATAGCTCAACTAATGTGAATGTGCGAGTGAATGTGAGTGCAAATGGTTGTCTGTCCCTGTGTGTAAGCCCTGCGACAGACTGGCGACCTGTCCAGGGTGTACCCCGCCTCTCGCCCTAAGACAGCTGGGATAGGCTCCAGCACCCCCCGTGACCCTGAAAAGGATAAGCGGAAGCGAATGGATGGATGGATGAACTAATGTTAGAGAAATGTATCTATTTTGACATTTGCTTTAAAGGTGTTTACTCTCACCAAATCACATAGATGTTACTAGAATTAAAGAGTACAGATGCAGCTGAACAAGCAGGTTTAGTCTGGATTTCATCTCTTGAGTTTTCCAATTTTAGATAAAGATTCAGCTCTTTGTTATTTATTATATTTATAAGAACGTCCCTCTCCCTCAAATCAAAACAAAACCAAACAAACAAAACCCCTGAAAGCATAATATTACTTTGCCGATGGGTTGCCAGAAAAATACTGATAAAAAATTAAAAAATTAAGATTTGGGGGAAATATGTCAGAGATTTTCCGTATGGGCTGTATAGGATTTCTTCTGTAGAATGTATGTGATAAATAAAACACATTTACATGGATAAAAGCTACACAATTACCTAATGATATATTCAAACATGCATGTAATGTAATAGTTAGGCTTAAAATGGCAGAAAAGTAGTTTTGTTCATTGTAATTAATTAATAACCAATTATATATTTTATCCATATTTAATATAATAAAAATAAATAGCAGCTATTACTTTTTTTTTTTTTATAAAACTAGTAACTGGGTTTTAAAAGGTAACAAATCAAGTTCATAGATTTACCTTTTCAAAAACATCCATAAAATGTTAATAATGTACTCTTAATAACAGATCCAAACAAGGAAAAACAAATGGATCAGATATAATTTCACAAAGTAGTGACACTATTTATGGAATAAAGTAGTAAGTAGTAATATAGTAGTAATATAGCACCACTATGTTTCGATTTGCCATATTTGTCCTTAAAAACATTGAAAACTTTTTTTTAAAAAGTCTACTGCTGCTGTAAAACCCCTTCATCACTTAATGTGAATTTTTACTTATGTAAAACTACAAAGAAATTACAAAAAATATTTTGGCACTCACAGTGTTGTTGAATTACATCAGTTATAGAATAATGTTCTTGCAGGTTTGAGTAATGGTTGTACTGGCTGCTGACTGTGAATGATCCTTTTTTGTCACCCGATTTTAGCCAGTATTTTTTCGACAACAACTTCAGGATGTTTCCTGAAGCAGTAAACTAGAATTTAACATCTTATAGGTTATTCAAAGGAAGTAATCTGTTAAATTACAAGTTTCAGTTCATTTTATAGAGCCCACTGTCCAGAGTTTGAGCCATCCACACAGTATAATACAATGTTACTAACTGCCTGTGTAACTATTCTTTGGAGTGAATAATTCAAGTAATTCGTTAAATGCAATATTTTTAGCTAATGTTTAACTAAAATGCTCAGAGAATGTTTTATACTGATACCAGTTCCTTTAATGCTTTTGTAGGAGCTCATGAGTGTTTTAAAAAGTGATAATTGTTTATGCATTCGATATTTTATTTATTACAAAGATGTTAAAAGCTTTTTATTTAGTTTTTAATCAACAACAATTTGAGTCAGAAATATATATTTTTACTAGCCTACGTGTGATTATGACACACTAAATTTAAAAAACAGAACAATATCTGAAATTGAAAAGTCTTTAGCTTTTTTTGTAGGAAATAATTAAAATAATTTTGCAATTACACTGACATTATCTGCATCTTGTTTTGGTACAGGCGCTGTGGCAATCATAGCTGGAGGTTTGGTGCTGTTACTTCCTGAAACCAAAGGAGTACCTCTTCCTGAAACCATTGATGATATTGAGTTCCCTAATTGGTAAAATGTCCCAGTTTTTTCAGTCATAACACATTCAGAATCCCGTTTACTGAGTACAGCTAAAGTATTAGTCCAGAGGTCCATATGAAGAGCACTGTGTATAACTTGTTATATTAATGAGTAAAGTAATCCTTCTTCTGAGTTCATATTACTTTTTAAAGGCATTACAATTAGCATTTGTTTTTCATCACTTCTTTTTGTAAAACTTAAGTAAAATTCAAAGAAAATCTGTACTAAAGTTTCATTGTAACTGATAAGGAAACTTATCTCAATAGACATTTAGTATGCATTATTTGTGGGTGTAGTGTCAAAATGTTTTCTCTCTTTCAGGAAAAAGCGGAGCCATGAAGAAAATCATCAAATGAAGAATCTTCTGAAGTCTGAAGATCAGATGAAAAACAGGGAAACGACTATTGAATGATTACATTTTATTTCACCCAAACACAAGGAAGTACGTTTTTAATATTTGTATAATTTCCTTGTTTCATTTAAGTATTGTTTTTCCAAATTTCATTCATTGTTCATTGTCCTTCTGTTTTTAAACCAGTAACATGCGCTGTTTATAGTGTATCCACATCAGTCAGCAGTGCTTGTAATATCAGAGCAGAACAGTGTACATATGTTAAGATCCTCAATAACCACATTGCAGTTTAGTTGGTTTTGATGGTTCTATCTATCCAATCCACAAACTTAGACACTCGAGCGTAGACGCCAGGTTTCATGGCATTAGCACAGCCCAGACCCCAGGATGTGACACCCTGCAAGACAAACCTGTTTTGCGAATAACACACTAGAGGACCACCGCTGTCACCCTACAAGGAGAAAACACACACATATACATATATTTTACTGTTCAATTCACACACTGGCTGCTTTTGATGCCATTGAGGTTAACTGCTGGCAAAACTAACAGAGAAGAAACAGAGGAATTGTTTGGCCAGTGGCTCATTTAAAAAATATAACAGAAGACTAATTAAGGCATTGGAAATAGCACATCTACTGTATTTGTTGTTGACTATATACATTGAAAAAGTGGGATACTAAGATTTATTTAACACATTTGATTTGAGTCCTTTTACCTTTTAGGCAGGCCAGACAATAAAACAAAATAAAAAAAATAAAAAAATAATAAATTAGTAAAATTACAGAATTTACTCTAGACCCCAAAACAGGAACTTTCCTCTTATTTACTTGTTCCTGTTAGTAAATTATGTTGGTGTACTATGAATGGCAATGGAGGTGAGCAGTCTTATTAAATTACAGAAGTTCAGAATTGATACACTCGTTCACATTTTCTATCATTGTCCAGTGGGTTGGGTTTGAGTCTTCTTCAGGACTATCCTGGCCCCCGTGCCTTATGTTTGACACCCCAGAACTAAAGATCACTGATAACATGAGTGTGCCATAAAACACATTCATGTTAATATAATTTTAAAATTGGGTCGCTTTTTCCATGTTTAATCAATGCTACAAATAAGTGGAGGTTTAATTCAAACAAGTATCAGAGAAATGTTTAGTCAATATTCCAGTTACTAAAACAACCATCAGGTACTCATTGTCAGCACAGTTCTTTATATCTCGATTTAAATCATCTAAATAACCATCTAAATATTTACTGTTAATATGGAAAATTTACATGCATAACAGATAAAAGAAGTTCAAACATCTGTCTAGTGTTGATTAGATATTTTTTTGTGTGTGTGATAACAGAGGACTCAAAAAACTTCAACATGTTTGTAAAATCAAAATTTTCCTGGTTTGAATGTTTGATTTGATTTGATTTGATTTTGGTAGCTTTAATTTATCAGTCTGCAATTTTCTAATATTTCAGAATGACTTTTAATTTGTTGTGAGTTTAATAGTTGATTGTTGAAAGAACTTCTAAATCCAAAGTACTCTAACTTTATGAAATCTTTTCTCATGTATGGTGAACTGTTCTATTGTAAACATATTTTTTTTAAAAATTGTACCTGGCAGCTGTCTGTTCCTCCTTCGATATTTCCAGCACACATCTCATGATCTTTGACTCTGCCATTCAGGTATGCTGGGCGATTGCAGACCCTATTCTCAATCACAGGGAAACCAGCTTCCTTAAGGGTGCCGTCACCTCCCGTACCTGCAGACACAATTCTCAGCGGTTATCCTCCTTGTCATTATGATAAGACATGTTTAAACCAGTGGCTGTTGTTTGCATAAAAACAAATACTATTATCAACTTCTTGTATGTTGATTCTATTGCACTGGTCTTTATGTCTCCTTAAAGGTAATTTTTGTCTTAAAAAAGCTACTTTGTTTGAACAAAGTGGAAAACATTCTATAAATGATTAAACAGCTACAACGTTATGTCCAAGGCACCTGTGCATTGTATTTCAAAGCGACATACAGTATCAGCACCATTCAAGCCAGAGTTTACTCAACATTTGTACATAATAATGATGTGGGGTATAGTTAAAAGATCACAAACTTATTTTTAAAACTAAACATAGAAGAATTGTTTATAAGTTGTCCTGTAAGGTAGGAGTACACAATTATTTCAATCAGAAGATTAAAGTGCTGGTTGGGCTAAGTAAAAACACTCTGATTTGGCTCTGAGTGCCACTTTGTGGTGAAAAGCTTTCATTACATCTTGCAGAGGATTTTACAAAACAAGACCTGATTGTATTTCATATTAATCTGCTCAGTGCTGAATTTCTAAAGCTTGTAAATTTATTTTTTAAGTTTATTATCTATAATGCATTGTGAGTTAGTAAGCAAAAACATGTGATCAAAATTGGTTTAAACAACTTAACCAGACACTTTGCATTGTATTTATGTATTTATTTATACAAATTTATACAAATTGACGAGGAATTCAGATAATTCTCACAAATCACAACAATAGCACACATAAATGTGACCTACCTTGAGTCTCTCCCCATCCAGTAACATAACACTCTGTTCCACTGGGCACTATGTAGTCCTTTTCTGGCAGACAAGCAGGCTGTACTTTGTCGTTTATCAGCACAGGCCTAAAAACGCACACACAACATATATTCATACATTGAGAAGCATCAAATTTCAGTCCAATAACATATGGGGGCCACTATGAAGCATGAAGATGGGGTATTCTTTTCTGACACATAGCAATAGGACCAAATGGTGGACGTACGAAGGTAAGAGTGTCCTAGTTATAATATTTACTGTGACATAAAGAGCAAATCAAAAACACATGAACACGTGTAAGTGTAAAAGATGTAGACAGTGTTTTTGCTAGATTTTATGAAGTTTTTAAAATTTTGCGTACATAGAAATCCACTTTTTCTTTTCATTGCCTCAGCACAATGTTGTGCTGTAAGGGGTACTTTTGAGGAAGAGTTTGCTGACAGTGTGTTTATGTGTAATTCAATTTTATTTCATGTATTTGTGCAAAGATTTGTACACATTTCACATGTTGCTGATGTGATGCCTCTTGCGCGGTGAGAGACCATCAAATATTTTCTCTATTTCAGGGACAACAGCTGCCAAGCCACAGAGGATATGGGTGGTGAGACAAGATTTGGCCTCTTCTAAGTCACAACAATATTAGACGGCATTCACAGCTTTGAAGTCTACCCTGGGAAGGCTGTCCAACCACCTGAGCTTCCAAGTGAATGGGCAATGTGGTCCTACATACAAAATTGCACGAATTCTGTGCAAATCCAAAAAATAAAGCAGCCAGTGATGGGATATCTCCAAAGTATGAAGAGAAGGAGAAGATACAGAGACCCACAGTTCCCATTCCAAACTGGGAATGGGTAGCAGGTCCACTAAGTTGCAAAAGTAAAGAAAACAATACACAAAGAAAAAAAAGCAATATGTATATACACTCAACAAAAATATAAACGCAACACCTTTGTTACTGCTCCCATTCCCCATGGGATGGACGTAGAGACCTAAAATTCATTCCAGATACACAATATAACCATCCCTCCCAAACAGTGGTCACAAATCAGTCCAAATGTTTGGTAGTGGGCACATCTGCTATATTGAGATAATCCATCCCACCTCACATGTGTGCCCATTCAGGATGCTGATCTGACATCATGAGTAGTGCACTGGTGTACCTCAGACTGCCCACAACAAAAGGCCACCCTGGAATGTGCAGTTTTTTGCGCTATTGGGGGTCTGGGGACCCAGAACCGGTCAGTATCTGGTGTGACCACCATTTGCCTCATGCAGTGCAACACATCGTCGCATGGAGTCTA